TTATAAAGCCAAAGCTTAGCTTGGTGGACGCAGTGGTGTAAAGCATTCTCGTCAGACTAATGTTGAGAGATTCGTCTTATTTGGAGTCCATAAGAATATATCAAAAAATTCATATATATATATATTAAATATCATTTAAGTCTAAAAATTTAAATTATTAAGTTTTTGAGTTCTTCATATATATATATATATATAAGATATTTTATTCAAATTTGTTAATGATGTAAGATTTTTTACTTATATATAAATTTTATTCTAATAATATTTTTTATTCATTCGTTAGTTTTAATCAAGTCCTACTTCAGTTCTCTTATACGATTAAATCTTATTAAGATCTTCTTTAATCAAACAACTTCACATCTCTAGAGTACTTTTAGGTTAGGTTACAGCAATTAACTTTATCACTTAAGTTGTTTTAGTATTCGTTCAAGCTTGCAGTTCAAATTGACTCAATACATCATACATCATTCACTTGAATATTTCACTTCTGCATATTATCATATACTCGTTACATTTAAGTTAAATTTTTTAATATTGATATTCGAGCATATAAAGTTGATAGATGTGATCAACTTTTAATCTGCCTATAATCTCCTTTCTAGTAACATCACTGGAACTCGAAATTATAACATTAATTCTGATACCATTGAAAGATTTGCCACACTTAAAATTTATCGAAATACACCAAAAAATTTATATATACATATTAAATATTATTTGAATTCAAATTAAAATTTTAGATATTTTATATATAAAAAATATTTCATTTAAATTTTTTAATAACGTAAAAGTTTTTACTCACTAATAAATCTTATCTCAATAATTAACTAGAATCGGCAGGCCGTGAAGTCAACAGTCCACTCACTATCGAAATCAAATCCAAATCTTTCCCTAAGCAGGTTGGCAGCGTCGTCTATCACGTAATCTGAAGTTGTTTAGTTCGGTGAAATGGTTTAACGTCGCAAGACAAGTGAGATTTCGTCGGAGATGGCGGACGAGAGAGGCTGAGGAAGCTTCTCAAGTTTATCGATGATGGCGAAGACGGCGGGTTTGGAACGGTGGACTTCTTGTTCTTGTTTAAGGGTCCCTTTCCATTTGCTTTTATTTTTTTTATTTGGGCTATGATTTTTTATTTTTTTTGGCCAAAATCTATTATTATTAATTAATTAAAAACATCAAATGGTAAAAAAGAAGATTAGCCTTGATTGTAGTGATGATTTGGCAGTGAGGCTCACTTATTGTATGGCTATGATGTGGCACTAAATGATTAGTTCTTTATGCAATGTAAAGTCAATTGAGCTAACGATGTTAGCTTTAGGAATAAAGTGTGTGACGTAAAACAACTATAAGTATTTAATTGAGTAAATATTTTTTTAAGGTATCAATACGACAGAAATACGTAAATTCGGGCCAAATAAATATTGAATTCTTTTAATTTGGTTGCTTGTTTTTGTTTGTTTAATTTTACTAAATTAATCACTTATTTTCTTTTTGGAACATTGTGGTAACAGTAAAAAAATTAATACATATATATATATATATGAAATGTTCAAATGATTGGTTCATTCAAAGAATATCTTAAAATGTTTGAATTTATTATTTATTTATAGATAATTAGTCATAATAATAGATTAAAAGAGTTAAATTATTCATGAATTAATCAGATCTCATGAATATTCAAAGCTTTACTTGTTTATTTTTTACTCAAATTCAAAATTAAATTACAAGTCAAATTAAATATTTTAATATTTAACTCAAGAGGTTATGCACTTAGTTAAATTTTTAATTTTTTAACATATAAATATATAATAAAAATATAATAGTTAATATTTCTATTTATTATTTTATCAAACAAAATTTGAGTAACCCAAACAAAATTATTAAGTCAAATTCGAAAATGAAATACAAAACTTGATCAATTTTGAATTGAAATAAGATCTTTGAATCTTTGATTTCGAGTTTAGCAATGTATTAAGTTCACTCCACTCAAATACACCCCTTATGTAATAGTGCTATTTTTTATTTTATTTTTTAAAACAATTAAAAGGATAAATATATTGCTGACAAATATTTTTTGACTTTTTTTAATAACACAAATTATATAAAATTTAGTCAACAAAGAAACCAAAAATTGACATAGTCAATCATGAAACAATTTTTGCCTAACATTTGGTGAAAATAATAATTTAGTCGATAAATACCATAATTTAAATCTCAAATATTCTTCCAAATTTCATTTTTCGTTATCATGTAATTCAAGTAGCACAATCCAATCAATTTCAAAATATTTTTTTTTGACACAATCCAATCAGTATTAATTTTTTGAACATATATATTAATAAAATATTAGTACACTTATGTTATTCATGTATGATTATCATATTATGATTAATTAATATTATATAAAATTTGAATATGATAGTGGATTAAATATAAATTTTAAAAAATATAAATTCTAAAGATAAACCCTAATTAATATTTTAATTTAGATTATTAACTATATAAGAAAGATGTAACGAGAAATTATAACTAAGGAAAGCTAATATTATTCATTAACATATTTATATAGTTAAATGAACACATAATAATTAATAAAATATGCTATTCAAAAATTCAAAAATATCATCGGATATATAGAATTTATATATTGAAATATATCAAATATAAATTCTAAAAATAAATTTTAATTAATATTCTAGTTTTGATTATTAACTATACAAGAAAGATGTATTGAGATTTTTTTTTTTTGAAGAAATGTATTGAGAAATGAAAAATAAGGGGAGTCAATATTATTCATTAAGTTAATATAATCATATAGTTATATGAGCACGTAATAATTAATAAAGTATACTATTCAAAGATTAGATGCATCATCATGATTGTATAGAATAATAATCTTTTTAAATTTTAATTAAAAATCATTTAAATTCTTATTAATACTATTTTCATGGAATTATTTTTTTTGTCTCCAAAATCTCTTTTTCCTTTTCGAAATTAAATGACAAAGAAATATTATCCTTATCGTCTTATCCTTTCGTCAAAAAAAAAAAAAAAAAATCTAGAAGCAGCCCATAAATGGCTAACACATTACTTGGGAGATATCCCTTCCATGAACAACCCTAATCCCTTAAACCTCGCCTAAAATTAGGCAATTTATTCCAAGAAAGGGAGATTTGAGGCTCCTTTAATTTTTTTTTTTTTTGAAATTTCTCTTCTATTATTAAAAAAAAAAAAGCATGAAAAACGTCACATTTTATCTGTCAATCAAAGCAAACTACTAATATACCTTTTCACAGCGATGCTTTTGTTAATTGCTGCTCTGTCTCTCTTTTATAAATCATCTTTGTGTGAAATGTATTCATCATCTCTTCTTTCTTTTGTAAGTTTTACAATTTCTCAGTCGTTTTCTTCTTCATTTCCAATTTCTTTATAAACTTGTTAAACCTTTTTGAATATGGGTTTTTTCTTTTTCTCTTTCTTTTTTAGGGTTTTGAAGGAGTTCAATTCAATTCAAATGCAAGTGAATTTGGGTTTTAATATTGGTACGTTCTCTTTCTCTCTCTCTTTCCTTATCTAAGCCTTTTCATTTTTCTGATAATAAGTAATTATAAAATACTACAGTTTTGAAACAAGATTAAAGTTTGGGAGAATATTGTACTCTCTTTGAAAATAATTAAAATTTGAGATAATATTTTAACATTTGTAATCTCTTGTATTATCTTCAAATTGCAATTTTTTATTAAAAAAATTACAGTCATTAGTTTAAGGGTGAAACACGTTTCGAATGTTTCTTATTTTATTATATATTTTAATTTTAATGGCTTTTTTATTATTTTATTTTCCAAATAAAATACTAGTACAATCATCAAGTATTCTCTCATTAAGGATTCTTGTTAGTATTTTGCAGGGCTTGCTTGAAAAGACAAAGAAAATAAAAATTTTGAGTTATATATTTAAGGGGAAGTATTTACTTTCCCGAAATAAAATTCGTTTGCATGACAGATATATGTTAGGTCATTCTTCACCGTCAAGCCTTTTGGACTCTTATCAACAGATCCTTTGGGTTCTTTTTTTTTTTTTTTAAAATTATTCTTACATACAAAAATAAAAAATCTACCAACTTGAAATTAGATATTCAACCGAAATACATAAAACTTAGGCAGAGGTGCAAAATATACTGAGATCACATGTGTAAACATTATCGCCACGTGTACATGAAACTATTTCAAAGATACCAAAAAAAATGTTGCAAAATGCATCTTTATTTTTTCTTTTAACATTTTAATTTTTTTACAAATTTTTATAAATAAATTTACTTAATTATCTTTCTCACAACTTTATGAAGGTTTATAATTTTTTAGAAATAAATTTTCATAAAATTATATAATTTTTCAAAAATAGATATATAAATTTCCATTTCATTTTTAGAAAATCATATAAGTTATAATATTCCGTAAATAGATATATAATTTTCTAAAAATAAATTCTCGAAAAGTTATAAACTTTTTCAAAAATTTAACTTTTAGAGAAATAAATTTCTGGAAAGATTATAAATCTTTTTGAAAATTTATTTTTGGAAAGTTATACAATTTTTTAAAAATTTATTTTCAAAAAATTTTATAATTTTTTTGAAATCTATTTTTAAAAATTTATGTAAAAAATAATTAAATAATTTTATTTTAAAAAATTAAAAAAATAATGTAAAAAAAAAAAACTCAAACACATTTAGCAGCACTAAAAAAAAAAACAGATGTCCCCATGCTTGTCTTTCTTCCCTGTTAAAATGTTTCGATGTTTCAAATACTAAAATACTTTTTTTTTTTAAACCTTAAAAAACAGGTAATGAGAGTTGCAAAATTGTGAAAAAATTTAGGTCGATACCACATAAGTAAAACCGAATCTTGACGTCACAGATATTAGCTGTCATCTCTTTCCATCTTTCAATCTCTTTAATACTCCTCTCTTCTCTCTATTTATAACCTGATTACCTACAATTTGTCTTCATGAAAATCTAGATTTATTACTTAAAAAAAAAAAAAACCAAAATATCCTAATTGATCTTTTGATATGCAGCTCCCAAGATGTGCAACAGTAGCATCATCGTCACATCTACAGCTTGGCCTTGAAGCCCTAACCATATGTCCAAAGAAGAACCAAACTGAAAAGCATTGCAATTCTTGCATGATGACTTCAAGCGTTGTTTCCCCTTCGGCTTCTTCTTTGGTCGGTGATTACATTGGCATGGAGAGTTGCTTTGATCTCGACAATAACAAAGACGTTTGTGTTGGTGGTGATAAGGATACTAATGAGTATTATTCTGGGGTTTGCAGTGAAAGCCGTGGGAAGCGAGAACAACGGTGTAGGAGGTTGATTAAAAGAGAGTTTCCTCCGCCAATACCGTCGCTTGCTTCCACCGAGAGTCTGCCTTCTCATATGCCTTGGGTGCTGAAAAGGTATTACACTAGTGATGGGCGGTTGATTCTTAGAGAAGAGAAGGTAAGACACCAGGAATATTTCCGGGCTCACCGATCCAATGGTCGTTTAACATTGCATCTTGTTCCCTTGGATGACGATGAGATTGATGATATTGAGGATCATGAGATTGATCATGAAGAAGCACAGGAAGAGGCTGACCAAGTCAATGTTTATGACAATGACATCAACGACATTATGAACAACGCCGAGGATGATCATGAGAGTAACTTTGTTGAAACGTTGCTTAAAGACAATGATATTCCTGTGATTGAAGATTCAATAGTAAAATGTTCAATCGCTGAGACTCCAATTGAGAATGGGATTACAGCAAATGGAGGAAAGTGCTTGAACTGCAGCAGTGTAAGAGCAAGTCCCTCATGTTTTCTCGGTTTGCCAGTGCCAGCAATCAGGCCAGTTCACACTTAGGTAACAACAACCCTTCAAAAAGAGTCAAAATGAGGACTTTTATGGGATAAATGGAAATATGGACGGTTAAGCAACTTTAGGCTTAGATGCCTTTTATTTATTTTTTCTATTTTTCCCCAAAATTTCCCCATTTTTTCCCTTTTTGGGTGGTCATATTCATTGATGTGATAAGAGTGAGTTGTCCTTTTCAACCCCTTTTTTAAAATTAGTGATAGAGGCTTCAAAGGGTATGAACTTGTTAGAGTTTCGTTTTCTCTGGTTATTGTAGATTTTTCATTTGTTATTGATAAATATTTTTTGGGTTTTTCTTTTTTATTTTTTTCCCTTTCTTGGATTTATCTAGCTGTCCATCCCATGTCTAGATTATTCGATGCCAAAAAGCTGAATTCCTTTTAAATACATATATTCATATTTATTTATTTTATATTAATTATATAAAATATAAAAAATATCATAATATAATTATATTGATATATAAATACAAAATATATTTATGTACCGACCAAGAATATTACCTGATCAGATTTTTTTTTTCTCGAAGCATATGAAAGATAAAAATGTAGTTGGGATCCATGATGGCCACCCCTCAAACAAAAAGAAAATTGTGTACAGGTCAAGGGTGACTGGCATGGCAGTTGGCAGAAGAATCGACAATCAATCAAAAGTAGAGGCCCAGCTACAGGCAGAGCAGGCCCGGGGGAACAATTTCCAAGGGGGACCAAAGTATTCTAATGATCACCGACACCATGTTGTAGACTTAGATAATGTATGCTGGTATTAGTAAGTGTATATACAGTATATGAAGTGCAGCTACCTTCCAATATCTATTACTGTCAGTTCTCATGATTGGGCTGGCAGGTGCATCTGCCATGGCGCTTCACAGCACAACCTCCCACCCTTTCTCTGCCATTTTTGACAGCTGGCTGGTGCGTCTACCAATGCCACAGGTCAACCCTTCGCTAATTTCATGCTGATGAATTTACTTAAAACTGTACCTACCCATGATCGGTCACTAGACTAAATCATTGAACTGTTCACTACCTTACATTTTACTACTTACCAGTACGAAAGTTTAACATGCCAAAGAACTAAACAGTCTTAATCTTTGAATCCCAAATTGTCCAACCAAACACAATAAATGGTGTGTAATTTTACAATTTTCAAGGGTTGTTTTGTATTATAAATGGCTAATTACAACTGTTTAGCATTGTCCAATTGAATATTAAACAGTCAAATAAAATGAATCACTGGTAATTTCTGTTACTGAAACCAAACCCTGTGATGATTCTAATTTCTTTTTTTAGTCTCAATTAATTAAATTTGGATGACAGCTAACTTGCAACTTTGGTGAGTAATACTTTGCATTTATATTGTTCCATAATTTGCATGGTATGCAATGCAACTTGTATTCGCTGGGTTTATTTTCATTTTTCAGTAATATTTTCTCCTTGTCTATTAAGTTTTCTAGCTTATGTTTTATTTTTCTAATAATGAATTGTTCGATTCTTCATTTCTTAATAGATCAACGATGTTTACAATCTTCGAAAAAATATTCATTGTTTTATGTTTATCTGTATAAATGATAGAATTTCGAAATAAAATGTGCATTGATGAAGAGGCGAAATAAATTAATAACAGATGGTAAAGAAAATTATGATATGCTATCTTGCCTTCATAATCAATATCTATAAAGAACAATAAAAGCTGTCCCTTTACTTTTAAATGAATCACAATTAATCTGTCTTAAAATATAATTGTATGGGTAAAATTTTGAAACAAAATTTTTACTCCCTCAATTGACTTTCAGATTGACAGTATTGCTTGACACTTTTTTTTTTTTTATAAAAAATTGTTTAAATGTAAAAAAAAAATAAAAATCAGAAGCTTCTGCAGCCTTTAGAGTCCTCTATAAGCTTCAATTATGTAAAAAAAATTAAAGCCTTTAGAGCTCTTCCATAAGCTTCACGTATTTTGAAAAAAATTAAAAAAGCCAAAAACAATAAGGGAGAAAGGGGAAGATTTCTCTTCACAGTTAAACTATTAAAACATCCATGATTCGAGAAAAAAATGAAAAGAGACAAAAATGAAAAAGGCAAAGAGAATGAAAAAGAAGATGATAGAAGGATGGGTATAGAGAAGCCATGTATAAAAATGTAAGAGGAAGACAAGGAAGGCGAATCGTCGGCTGATTTGTGTGGAAAAGTATCCTATTTGCACTACTTACCTTTTCATCTCCATGAGAATATATATCCCATCAACAGCCGTGGTCTTTAAGCTTTATCTTGTTTAATTAGCTGTCTCTTTTCTTTTTAGACTTCCAATTTGTTCAAAGTTTACAAGCATTATCTTTTTTATTTGCCTTCAAAGTTCTTATCTTGCTTTCTCCTTTTATTAATATCCGTATAACCAATGTGGTAGTATATTTTATTGCTTTGTTTATCAACACTACTGATGATATTTAAACTTCCTCCCTTACCCTTTGAACCAGTGTATTGCATTTATTATCACAATCCTTCAAATTGTTCGTGTACTAAATCTCAAGGCGAGTACCTTAATTTATTTGGTTTTTTATGCCTGCTGTTTAAAGGCGAATGAATGTTTTACTATTATGTGGGTCATATCTTATCAACGTTTCTATACACACAAGAGCCAACTTTTTTCTATCATCTTCTTTGTTTTTTGTATTTGTTTGGATTTCAATCAAGTAATATATTTGTTTTGTTTGTATATTTAAATTATTTTTTAATATTTGCTAAGTATCAATTGAATTTATGTTCATTGTTTTTATTAAACTATATCGGTTTCTTTATCTTTCCTGTTTCTATGGGGTTAAGGGAAGAGGTTTAGAGCCAGATGAAAGGTGCGCCATGTTCACAGAAGCAGAGACGCTTCGCATATTGACTTAGCCTTGGCCTAATTTGATGTATTTTTTTATTTTTGGTCCTTTACATGTTTAATTTGGGTTAAAGTTGACTTGTAATTTTGTTTTTTTAAGATATTTTGGTTGTTGCATTGTTTCTAAGTGTTTAGTTGGTCATGAAGTATTTTAAATGTTTGATATTTTTTGTCTGTTTCAAGGATTGTTAGAGTTACTTGGAGGATTTACTTTAAGCACTGTTTGCTTAGTGGATCAATTAAAAAAAAAAAAAAACAGAAAAGGGCTGGTAGCTTTTCTAAGACAAAGGAATCCCAAACAAATGCTAAGAAACATCAATCCTCAATGTCACAATCCCCATGTCCAACATTGAAGGTGAACTAGTATTCCACTAGCAACTCTTCAAGTTGTAGTTTCTATTTTTCTTTTTCAATTTCTTACTAGCTTGGACTTTACTTTTTAACTACAAGTTAGAAAGAAAAAGTAGGAAAGAAAAAGTAGGAGATAGGGTCGTAGGTCTTCAGAATTTGGTTTTATCTTTTGGCAAGATTCATTTCATTCCATGCATATTACCTCTTCATCACCATCCACTAAGAGTGATTGAGATAAGAGAGATTTAGACTTAAAAAATTAAAATATTAATATAACCATGGTTACAGATTTAAATTTCTTTATGAAGTGATTTCCAGATAAATATAGTCCTATCTTAATAGAAGCTATCGGGTACATCCAATTCCTCTATGACCAAGTTCAGGTATTTTCTCTCTTTTGGTTTTTTTTTTCTTTCACCATTGTATTCAGCAAAAATAAACTAATTAATTTAAAGAATATATATAGATGCTTTAGGATCCTAAACAAGCATCTTCTTTCATTTTCTTTTGTAGGCGTTGAGAAGGCCAATATTCTTCTTTAATATTTCTTTGTTTTTCTTGCATGTGAGTTCTAAAATTGTTTCTTACACCTTCCTTTGCATTGTTTATTGGTTTTGAAATTGGTTACTCATTTGGATTTTCCTTTGTTTGAGTTGTTATACTAATGTTGAGATTTTTTATTTTTTTTGTTGCATGGATTGTTAAAGGTGTTCGGTCAAATAAGGTAAGGTTAGTTTTTATTTTTCTTTTTTTAGTATTTTTATTTGTTTTAAATCAGATGTTAGTTTTTAGATTATGATATTTGTACATCCAACAACTTTATGCAGGTAAAAGAGTGAGATCAAATTTGTATTTTGGATCCAAGTTGGTTTAGTTTTAAACTGTATTGGCAATTTTAAAGCCAGTTCTCCCTATTAGATTTTATTCATGATTTATGACTTCCTTTTGGTTTTATTTATCATTTCTATATCGAGAATCATTAGAGTATCCTTTCGGTGGCTTTGAGAAAGAACTTGGGCAAATATTTGATTCCAGATATAATTTTGATCTTTTGACTACTTTAAATTTTTTGTATATACTCATATTACACTTGACTTTTGATTAAATTAATTGTTTACTATTTTTTTAATATGTAAGTAATAAATTCACTGCCGTTCATTCCTCTCATTGTTTTGTTAATTACAAAGGTTTTGGTTTTTAGTGGTATTTTTTTTTACCGTTTAACGACTTTTATTAATGCCACTATAAGGTTTGTGGCGTTTATGAAAAATGTCACACAGAGTGTCACCTATACACGCGTCGTGGTAAATAGTGATATTTTCAAAAAAAACGCTCAATATTAGCGATATTTATATCTAAACTGTCGTCATTTTAGCAGCGTTGATATCTTTGAGATGTCGCTACTTTAGAAGCATTTGAATATGAAAACGGTTCAATATTAGTAGCGTTTGTATCTTTTAGTCGTCACTAATTCAATGACGTTTTTATGAGAAAAACGTTGTTGCATTGACGATGTTTGTAACAGAAAATACTGTTATTTTAGAGGTGTTTGAATATGAAAATATCTTAATATTAGTAGTTTTTGTATCTTGTAGGTGCCGCTAATTTAATGGCATTGTTATGAGAAAAATTTCGTTGCTTTAGTAGCATTTCTATAAAAAATGTTACCTAACTAGCAGCATTTGCTGGAAAGAGCGTCACTACTTATAGTGACGTTTTATGCTACAAACTTCACTAAATTATTCATTTAGCGGTATTGCCTAACGTAAACGTCATCATTATATAAAAATGTATTTATTTTAATTTATTATAATAAAATTTATTTTCAGTAAAGAGCTTAAATTCAAAAACTGAAATTAATATTAACTTCATTCACATTTAAATATACATATAATTAATATAAAGTTTAATAATTAGTATAATAACATTCAAATATTTTTAATACATTAACAAAATAAAAAATTAAAATGTGTGAAATGGATGATTGCATACATTTTGTTGGCTGTTAATTGATGAAAAATTTTCACCTTAGTCACTAGCGTGCTCAAGAACCTATTGAATAATACCTACAATTTTTAACACTTCATTGTATGCTTTTTTTTATTTAAAAATTTTAATATTTACTAAAT